TGAAAATGGTAGGTCACGTTTTTATTTGACCGATTTGAATAACCTGATACCCGGCTTTTGCCGAAATATTATTTATACCGGTTTTACTTGTATAATGATATCTTTTGATGATCAAAGTCATTTGCTTACGTAAAAGCTAGTTACATCAGCTGATTGATGAATAATGGCAAACACCAGCCAAATTCTACAAGCCGCAACAAGAATGATAGCTGCTTCGATCTTATCAATCCTTTTGCAACTACGCACATCAATTCTACAAAAATTACGCCAAAATTACCGCAGATGATCAGCTTTCCTCGCTTTAATGACGAATTCTCAGGCTGGTTAAGCTTTATTGGTCAATTTCGATCAACTTTTCATGACAATTAGAAATTGTCACCGTTTCAGAACATGATGTATATCAAGATTTGTTCGACAAGCCATGCTTCTAAGCTTTCAATCACGCAAATGGCAACGACGGAAAATTAACTACGAAATAGCGCTTCACACGCTAAAGCAGACATTGAAAAATGATCAATTCATCCAGCAAGGGTCCATGATTTTTTTTGCAGTTCAAACGGAGATCTTTTCTCAGCTTCGCCAGCTACACTCAGTCTTCAATAAGACTTCGCAAAAAAAATATGGCACTCGAACATATTTTTTTGCTCAAATATCAGTGGACAACAATTTGTGGAATTTCTTTTCTTTGAAAATTTTGATCCAGACGGCATGGTAAACTGCAAATGATAGTACTCACGCTCTTGACACTCATCGACTCCAGGAATTCTTAGACCACAGAGTCACGTTTTTAGAGGTGATTCAAGGATCACATTCTAGACCTCACATACGTGAGCATAAGCAGCAGATGTGCTGAACAGAAAAAAAAAAGGACCTGATAAGAATGGCTTCTCCTTACCACAGAGTAAAATTTAACCTGCCAAAACAGACACCCGATTTGGCTGTGTGAGATTTGCAGATCGATCACACCCGATTTGGCAGATCACCTGATTTGGCAGATCGATCACATCATCAGAACGAAAGAATTTTGTGGCCAGCAATCAGATGTGCCTCAGCTAGTTGTCTGCCTGTCACGAAATCCAGCAGTGTCCTTCCTTACCTTTGTGTAAGACATGTCAACTGAAGCATCATACAAATCCACATGTTACTTGTAGCCAACCCAGTCTTCATCTCATAGCCACAAAAGATTCTTTTCTAATCAACCGAACTGGAATCCTTACAATTCCTCCCACAGCAATTGTCAAGGGTCGTTCTCAGCACAGTGAAGTTCACCACTTGAAAGCGCTCGATGACAATTGCCCTTAGACTAACGCCATCACTTTACAGGCAATGCACAGGCTTGGTATCAAACCAGCAGAAACTCCGGATTGGAAAACGGTTTTCAACTAGGAGAAGGTTGTCTTTGCCCATTGTCGGATGAATTTGATAATTCTACCAAAATCTGGTAACAATTTCTAACTTTTTTTTATCGTGTATAAGAAAACATCGCGGATGACGAGCATCCAAATAAAAAAATTACGAATCCGAGACGTCCGGAAAACTAGCTACTAACATTCAGCAGACCCAGGTTTGGACAAGCACAAAAAAATGATCTCTTGTGTGGACATTTTGTCTACACACAATTGTGAATTCGCGGAGTTCAAAGGAAGGCGCTATAGTGTTAACCGACACGAAGCTTGGTTGAACAGTCTGAGGTGTTTCTGATATCACAAAAGTGAAAACAATTGCTGCAGTATAGAGCCAACTTCTATGGCAACCAGTCGACAGCATTTGACAGATACTGATAAGTTGAAAAAATTCTTTAATCTTCAATATGCCAACAATCATGCAATGAGCTTGAATGCATCCGACATCTCAATCAGGCTAGGGTGGAGAAGCCATGGTGAGATTGCCCATTAGCGAATCACTGGGTAGCTACGAGAAAATTACCCATTATTGGTTGTCCGTCATTGGTCACAAAACGCGCAAAGCTTTCCAGCAATTCATTTCTAGCGAAAAAAATTTAGGCCAAAATCGTGCAGCCAAAAACCAATAAAACGATTTGTTCCGGCAATTTTTGACACTGGCCATATCAAAAAAACCTGTTTCAGGTCGCTTTCTGTCAGTCAAGAAGGACTTCATTATGCCTCTTCATGCACTTTGGACAGTTTTTAACAGATCAGCTGCAAATTCAATTGGAAACTCACTGAACGATTGTCTAGTATTTGGTCCCAAGCAACAGCCAGAGCTCTTTAACGTCTTTGTCTGATTCCACAAAAACGCATGATTTTTGGAAAAACAGAAACCTACATCAGCTTCACTGAAGGACAGAAGATGATCCAATTGAGAAATATCGAATGATTCGTTCCATCTACATGATAGCTTCTCGTAGCTATCACTCTTTACAAGTATTATTAGATACCGCTGAGAAAAGAGATGTTGAGCAGACCAAGCTAGCATTTTAAAAATCTTTCTTTGTGGACGACTATATCGGTGTGTCAGATACCGTGGAAAAGACCATTTGAATAAAACAGAGCATCACGAACGCTCCGGATATGGCATGCCTAATCTTCTGGTTGTGGGCAAGCTACAGCAAGGTTATCACAAAGAATAAACTGGGCAATTAGCATGAAAATAAAATATTCCTTGCAAAAAATGACATCAGCGTCAAAACTCTAGGACTCAAATTGCATCCGTTTCGAAATTGTTTCCAGTACCCGTGTTATGAGGAGCTCGAATCAATGACGACCCTGCTTTTTGGTATCGCAAACTTTATCAAGCCAGCCAAAGTCTCGGGTGTTGATTTTGAAGAAAATCCAGTTGCTGCCAAATGTCAAAATTGTAGCCAAGTTAAACACACCCAGAGGACAAAGAAGCAGGAAAAATCAAAAACCAGGACCCTACAAAACCACTAATCAAATTGTTTTCCACTAATCAAACTGTTTAGAACAAAATTTCACAAGTTTCCGAACCAAAATCTGATCAAATCCAGAAAATTGAAAAGTACCGAAAACAAAAACAAAGCGCAACCAAATGTTCACTGTCGCTTTCAGCTTGATTGCCCAAAAATGACTACGCCTAAATCAGTTTTTTTTTTTTTAAAAAAAACAATTTTTCAGGTCTCCAGATCGATTTAACCCAAAATGTGGCAAAACTTTGCAAAGACGCAAGAACCTAATTTTTTGGCTGGCCGCCAAGTCACGAAGATGATGGATGGTCTAAGATTGGTGGATGGCATGCAGCAGCGGATTGTCTAAAGAAGACAAACAATTCAGACGATTTTGCCCCCGAACATTTAATTCTCGAGGACTTTGATTCGCAATAGTCGCCTTGTTCAACTACACTGTTGACTGAGTTTCATTGTTGCTCGCTCTCGGCAGTTTTTTCGAATCAAACTAGTAAAGACTACGGCAAGAGCAAGGATAGGCAACTAGAGCACTTGCGTCAGGTTACACAGCAGAACAATAAACCAGCTTACCGAAATTAACTCTGTGTGAAAGTCAGTTCTTCGCCACCATTCTCTTATGTTGCGAACAATTTAGCCGGACCAATGTCGTACTAGAAACTGGATCAACTACTCAACTGTTTTGCAGTAGTTTTCCATTGATTTTCTACTGAAGCAATCCACCTAGTTAACTCAAAGTCCTGGGACACTGAAGAATTTTTGAAGGTCATGAGAAGGTTCCTTGCTTGACTAGGATGCCCCAAGCAGATCTTCTCCAATAATGGAACAAAATTTGCGAATCACGGATCGAAGTAAAAAGACTACTGCAAGACAAACTCAAGATAGACATCCCTGACTTAGGTATTAAATGGACTACAACACATGCAAGGGCTCCAAATTTTGGAGTTTAATGGAAAACTGCTATCAATTCAAGGCAATTCCTATAATACAATCAATATGCACTGGAGGAAATTTTGAACTAGATGCGATGTATACTGTGTTTTGTCAGATAGAAGCAATACTCAACTCAAGACCGATCACAACAATTTCGGATGATCCTAAAGACACTGTGCCGCTCAGTTCATTGATTCTGATAAATGGTTTATGGTCAAGTCAATTGCCATTTGTAGCTGATCCTACCATTGAAGAGCTTCATGAAGCTGAACAATGCCCGAGAAAATATTCAACTACTTGCACAGACTGATTGCAGAAATCTCAAAAAACAGAACTATTGAGTATCTAAATAGCCACTTTGCCACAAATCAGATAGAAGCAATACTCAATCAGAAAATCGTGTAGAAAAACAAAACTTGAAAAAAGAGATCTAGTTTAGCTAACTTATGGCCATAAAAAATTGTGGAGAATAAACATGCCAAAAACGCTAGTCTAGTGACGGTAGTGCAAGTTAAAACAGGGAATGGGAAGCTTGATATGCGACCGATTGTAAGATTTCGGAATTTCCTGATGCAAGACCAAGAAAGATACAAGAAAAAATTAAATAATTAACACAGAGGTGAAGCTGCGCATCGCAAATACTAGCGACAACACGACAAAAAAGCAGTTTTGTGAAGTGAAATGATAAATGAAAGAAATAAGCCTCGAATTAGTAAAACTTTGCTACGTATGGAGTCTTGGTGTTTCACGCGAATTGGAGTCTCTCGCCCTGCACTAACCTTGAAGCAAACAAAGCACGTTTTAATTAATAAAATAAATTGTTCACAGGAAAAATATAAAAAAGCATTTGATTTTTCCTATTATTTTTCAATTTCATTTAGCCGCAATTGGTAATAACTCATTTCAGTTTTTAATTTGATACAGTTGCTTTCAAGCGATCGCTATGTATTCAGTTATTGTAGTAATTGTTCCAAATTAGATCTATTTTTGAGATCCGATTAGAAATTACATGAAATTAGCAGAGCCCAATTTTGCAGAAGCTTGCTTTGACGAAGATTAGAGAGAGATTATTTTGAAAATCGATTCGAAAATTCTCGAAGATTTGTAGAAAGGCAGAAATCGTCGTTCTGTTAGGAATTTATAGCATTTAAATGTGAAAGTTGATGAATCCAGTGTCGAATATTACCATAGAAGTCGAGAATCTGTAGGTCGTACGGGCGGCCTTCCTTGTCCTCTCCTTGCAACATAATCCAACGGGATCCCTCCTCCCCATCTACATTACTGTCGTACTCCACAGCTGGAATTGGATCGCGAAAAGTGCAGATGTCCCCGCGGTTGTAATCGCTATCGCCCTAGAGAAAAAAAACGTGTCTGCGAGCAGTGATAATTATACTCCAAATTAAATGTAAATTGCAGATAAAAAATGTTCATTAGAATTTAAATGTATTGATAAAATATTATACTGTTCACTAAAATTATTTAAAATTTTTTGACAAATTTGCGCTTTTTTCCGAATTCTGCTATCTAATTCTTTTTTAGCAGCTACTTTTCATATAAAAATGTTCCATACTTCAAATAATTAAACTTTAGTAGTAACTAACAGTAAATTAACTTATACATATATTATTTCAAGCTCGAGTAGTACAAGTCAATCGTTTTTCTTTTAAAATGTTGCTCTGAGTTTAAAATTTTTCGTTTGAAATTTTCTTGGCTAGTTTTCCGATTTAAGTGAAATAAAATGTAAATAAACAAACATCCACATCACTGTCAGTGAGTTTAGAAAATCTGACACCAAGCTGGTTCTGACACCAAACTAATCTTCATTAGGCACAATCACAAATCAGTTATTATTGGAAAGATAAAACTACTTAGGACATAAAATCACAAACTTAACTTCGCGAAAACTTAAGTCTTCAGACAGGAACTGCTTGTGAGTTCGCTTAAGTTAAAAGACCTAAGTTAAATTAAGTTGTGAATGACTTAATGGTTCCAATGACAGTATTTTTATGAAACAATGCGCTGCACCTCCATGCGAAAGTCGCAGCTTCGGGTGTCGTCGGGTCTGTGTTCGTGATGTCTGTCACCCCAGTGTCCATCATCTTTTGATCCGTATCCGCTGTGAAACCCACAACCTCGCTCGCCATGATGATGTCCTAGTAATACAAGACAGAATGGGCTTGTACTTTACTTTATTTCAATTATTTAGAGTACCTAATTAATGAATGAATAAATTTTAGTTCACGCTCAATACGCTTATAACACTTTATAGATTTTTTTCTATTTACTGCTTAGGTCCATTCCCTGTGTTTTTTCATGTTGGGTTTTTTCCGAAGAATTTTAGGCGCCCCAAAAATGCTGATAGGGTGTCAAGTGAGGTATCATATTGAACCAGTGTCAGTCGAGGCTGGGATTTGAAGAAGGTCGTTTGAGAAAATTATCTGAGTGTGGAGTTTTTGACTATTCAGACCCTTAAAAGTTAGCTTAGAATGGACCAAAATCTTTTTGTATTTTAGAGCAATTGTTTTAATTTGACTCTTTTTCTATGTTTTATATCGCTCGCAATTGAAATGCTACAAAAGCGGGCTAATATTGGCAGGAAAAAAGGAAGAAAATTCCTAATATTTTGGACTTGGTATTTTTCTGTGTTTTTTTTTTTGGTGAAAAGTTAAGTCACACAGTAATCCTACTCGCACAGTAACTGGGAACCTTTTTTAAATAGTTTTAAGGTTTCAACTATCGCATAAAAACTTGCATCGCAAATGGTGCGTACCTCGTAACCTCTCAATCTCTGTTCCAGAATCAGACTAACGAACCTTTCCAGAAGCCTGCTCTCTTTCCCAGCTGGAATGCGAGTATGATCATGAAAATGACGGCGATCCCAGATAGCAGGCAGAATCCTCCAGTCTTCTTTTTCTTCATCTCTTTAAATTCGTCCTCCTCTTCAGTTTTCAAGGGTTCCTGAAGGTCGCATTTTTATCATCAATTTGTTTTAATTAACATATGTAAAATTTTTAAATTCTCACATCTTGTTTCGAAATTGCTCAGAAGTTTTCTTTACTGAGATAGGAAAAAATAATTTGTACTTGCTGAGATTTAAAATTTTAATTACTGATTTGTAGATATAAGGAAAAATGCTGGCTTAAAGGAACTTATTTCACGGTTGTAAAACCAAAATTGGGTTTTTTGCATCTTTTACCTTAAAATCGTAAGGGGGGGTGGGTAACGATATCTTTTTGAATGGCAAAATCATAATTTTTGAACGATTTGAGTGCTATAAGGTGTCTTATTCTCCCGGGACCTGGTGTTTCAAAGGACCACTCCATCATAGTAGTACCCTTCCAATTTCTGAATAACGTAAATTATGGAACCTGATCTAAACTATATTTTATGATTGGATAAATTAAATGTTTTACCAATGTAAAGTATTTAATATTAACCAATCATGATCCATCTAACTAACAACCCACTTATTTGTAAGTGCTGAAGTTACTTGTAATTTCAGCACCAGAGAGATTTGAATTTAACTTAGAAATTAGTTGGACTCTCCCGAGCACTTCAGCAGCCGCAATAAACCAGTATACCCTAGATCTATTGAGCCTAGCAGAGACTAGTTAAACAACCTGAGACTAGATAGTATAAGAGTAAGATTAGGATCGGTATTAGACTAAGAAGTTGCACGAATCTATCCGGCCGAAAATAAGATAGCGTGACGAGCAGACGGTGTACCCTATCCGAAATTACTCTATGAGTTATACACCCCAGACCTAACTCATCTGGTGCGACCATAAGTCTCGAACAAGACCTTACTAGATTAGAATTAACCAAAATTAGATTAGAAATTAGACAAAAACATTTACAAAATGTTATACGACAATAATTTAATTGAAATGTCTCTCCGACTCAATAGATCAGAGCCAATATTCCGAACCATAATAGAACTACCCGGAATTGGAAGAAGACATCGAACCAAAGACGACATACGACAAAGTAGAAACTTGCCGTATAGTTATATGATAGTTCGGCAAAAGCCAGAACAAACTTTTATATTTCGAATACTACTTGCAATGAATTTAGATTTCCATTTGCAAACATAAAACCTTGAAGTAAATCTTCAAAATCATTTCAGGCGCTAAACAAATTAATATTATACAATAACGATTGATAAAAAGATCTAAGATCGTTTTCCTAAAACTCTGCAGTATTATACAAAACATGTTTGAAGAATATTTATTGGAAAATAAAAATAAAAATTAGTAGCATGACAATAAATGGTTAGTAATCATAAATCATCCTGTTGTTCCAGCTTCATCACCTAAAACATAACAGCAATCATAAACCCACTAATATCATCAAAACACTAAATCTTTCCTTTACACAAATTTAAAACTTTATAAAAATTTAAAGTCACTTAATTTAAAATCAGATCATCAAGGCTTATCCTTGGATCTTAAATAATTTTCTACTTAATTAAATTTTAAATTTGATCATCAAGGCTTATCCTTGGATCAAACAGAACAACTTTGTTCTCCCCCACCCACTTAATTAGTGTCTAACGACCTCAAACGTCGATTCACTACCCAACCCTTTCTAAAAACCCAAGACTAATAGAAATTTTTAAACAAAACTAATCATTCAAATTAGGATAAACAGTGAAGAACTTCGGTTATTCATCCTTCACTTGACCCCTCCTCTTACCAGACCCAGGATAAATCTTAGACTTAGTAAGTTTAAAATAGTATCTAACGAACTACTCGCGTTCTAATTATACCTGAACCTTGTGGATCGATTTACTATTCTCCAACCCTTGAACACAATCACTACCCCTAAGTAAGATTAAGTAAGTTAACACCTTAGCTTATACTATTCACGAGAAAGTAAAAATCATTCTTCGGAATCGATATACTTTTCTCTCCAACCCTGAACAATTAGACCCAGGTTAAGCTAACCAAAAAATCGTAAGAACTAACAGTTTAAGTCAATAGAAATCATTTAACAACCTTTTGCATCCGTCATTCTAAACCTTATGTCATTTAAAAACCTAGGAAATAAACAAACAATCATTTTACACAATTGTGAAATAGATAACAAAAAATACGACCTTGTAATCACACCTCATACACAAACAGTTGGATACATTCGAACAAAACGACAAACACTAAAGAGAAAAATAATAACTAAACAAAGACAAATAACACGAAAAAGATTTTCAAAAAATCGAAACGCATTTTCAGAATCAGAAACCAACAGTTTAGACGAACTTTACAAATTAAAAGAATCAATAGATAAAAATTACCCACAACACGATCAATTATATTTTTCTGACTCAGAAACAACTTCAAATTCATCACAAAGAGGAAAAAGAAGAATAAAAAAGCAGTATAAACACAAACCAGTACATCTATACAATTGGAATCAACCAATTCGACACATTAATAATTACATATTAACAGTCATCGAACGAAAAAATGAGTTCAACGCACACCCCAGGTGACGAAACTCCAGATGATGATGAAATCTTTCCTTTTATAGTAGATGCAGATACTGATAGAGGACAACACATATTTTGTCAAAATTTACTCGTAAATTTATTTGAACCCGGAATCAGTCCATGTAAAACAGAGTTCCCCGATGTAAAAATCAAAAGACAAATCATAGATCACTATCTAAAAGATATATGCAACATAACACAACAGTATGGAATCTACTCTATAGAATTCACTTCCCCAAACCATAATAATAGAACATATACTATTCAAACAGACGACCTTGATTTAGAATTTTCAAAAGTTTTTTCAGAATATATAAAAAGCATCCAATACCATAACTCACAAAGAGCAAACTCCATTTTCACCAATGAAGTTTTCGCACTAATATATAGTTATATTTCGATATTAGAAAATGAACTCCCATTAACAAATGTCTCACCGACAGAAACATCTAAACATTTAAGAGTACGACATGAAATCACACTACTCTCTAGTTATTTAAACATTATTAAAGAAAATTTCACGAAAGACGACGTTTCACAACATACCAAACACGATTTACAAAAAATTTTAGCATGGTTCATAATAGATTATTTCACACACAATATTGATTTAATTGCACAAGCAAGAAAAAATTTTAGACCCCAAAATTCGAACGATGATACCGCTATCACAGAACAATCAGATTATGTTTGGGACCCCGAATGGTCTCATCCAGCATTTATAAGCTTCCCACAATCAATCTCAAGTCAAGCAATAAGTACAATATCTTACATAAGAGATTATGTAAGAGTAATACCATTAACAATTGATGCAACACCATTAAACTATAATACATTTTTACCCGATACACAAAATAATAGTTTAAACTCTACAGTCATACACAATGAAAACCTCAATGGAACTAGGAATCTTACTCAACAAGATATCCAGACACCATCACACTTCATAAATGAAGAAATTGTACACACAACAACTACACAACAAAGTATTTCACCAATACGCCCAAATTTAACAACACCAAGAAATACAAATCCTTCACAAACACAGGTAACCTTACAATCAACCGTTAAACCTTCGGTTGCCCCTAAATATTCACATATGGATTACCAAACATACAAACCCATGACAATACCATCAAAAACACGCAAAACATTCACTAGAAACAACTTTGCAGACCATAATTATAATTATACACATCCATCAAAAACAAATTATCAACCACAAAGGAATTTTAATCAATATACAAAACCTCGAAACTGGGATAACCCAACGGCCCAATATAATTCCACAAATTTTCAACCAAATCCTCCACAGGATCGCAGTGGAAATTACCCATTTTTTCAACAAAATAAAAATAAAAAACAAACATCTTATCAAATGGATTATTTATCCTCAGATGAAGATTTCTTACAACCAGATATATTTGCACCAAATACTCAAGAATATCGTAGACAAGGAATACAGAAAACACGTACAAATCATAGAAATTTTTCTCCACAATCAATAGATGCACAATATCAACAACCAATTCAACAACAAAATCCAATTAATACACAATCTTTTCAACCAATTCAACAACAAAATCCAATGACTACACACTCGTATCAACCATCACAAATGCAAAATGAAATACCACTCCCGTATTATCTTCAACAACATGAAATAACAAGAAACCAACTTTCAAATTTTTCTCAAATGCCAAATGCAGCTGAATCATTACAAATGACAATGAATCCATACCTTATGGGTGGATCATCAATAACATCAAACAAACCTTTAATGGTTTTCACAGGAACAGACCCTGAATACTCTGTAGAAGATTACTTAAATGCAGTAACAGCAAATTTGATTTTAAATATAGGACCTGAACCAATTAATACGCCACTACATCAAAACTGGATACATCGACGCACAGCGTTGATACAAACAACCTTAGATGGCGCAGCCCAAAAATGGTTTTCAGTACTACCTCAAGAAATAAAATCAAACTGGAAAAGATTTACACAAGAATTTTCAAAAATGTTTGACTCCGAAAGAAACAAACAACAACAAAGAGTTTTATGTAATGAAATTCGCAGATTACCAAACGAAACCATCAAACAAATAGCAGTAAGAATCGAAACACTAGTTCGAAAAACATATTCACTAAATACACACGACTATAAAAACACTAAGATGACAGAAATCTTAATGATGACCTTAACACCACAATTAAGGAAAATAGCAATAAAAAAGAGAGCATCCCATCCTTCTTCAATTCGAGAACCCGATTTAGATTTTAGAAAACTAGTAGACAAACTAGAACAAGCAGAAATCACGATGAAACTAGAAGAAACGGAGAATTTGAAATTACAATACGTTAACAAAATTGAAACGACTCCCACTAATATTAATAATATACAAGAATCAGAAACAGATCTCGTTGAAAAAATCACTGAAATACTCAATATTTACGAAAAGAACCCGAAC